CTTTGACAGGCTGCAGGCAGCGGGGCTGGACGCTGTACCTGTGCCTACCAGGTGTATTATATAATGCCAGCATTGCACCCACAGGGGCCGGACCCCCCATGTACAAGGGGCCTAAGAGATACCATCAGCTTGTGTCCCATTCCACCAGACTCCTAGAACTGGAAGAGGACATTTTTGGGGGGGGTGTTGTAGAAGAACCCAGACCACGGTATTGTGCGGTGAAAATATCATCCAACTTTATTCATCATATATATATGTGACACTTTAACAACAGAAGGAAAGAGATAGATTGTTTACATTTCAAGGATCTATTTATACCATTTATATCATCTATGCTAAGAAACTGATTAACATGTGACACACCCCTCATTAATACCAGCCCCCCCACTTATGTACCCTCTAAACATATACAAATCCCTGTAACTTCCCAGAAGACACTTTCATCTTTTATCCATAACAAGCTGATTGGGTACAAGAGAACCCCGAGCCCCTCCTGCTCATTCCCACACAACAAGTCCATGTCACCATCTACAAGGTGAGAGGACCTGAAGGAGAACAAGACCATGACCACCAGGACCATCGCCTGACTGAAGCCATGCTCACATTTCTTTCTAATGCTGCTTCTATGGTCTACTCAGATACAGATTTGGCAGATGTACATTCGTGTCTTCAAGGAGCTGATCAAACATGACCTGTGCTTGACCATCTATTTTGGGGTCCAGAGGTGACATTAGGGGTCTGATAGACCTCTTGTGTTTCTTTAAAAAGGATCTGTGACCAGCAATATGTTATCACATGCGAGGCTATTAACCCCCTATATGGCAATAATAAAGTTCAGAGAAAGAAAAGTGTAAAGTAACACACTGTAAATGAAAAAACACACAAAACACATTTTAAAGCCCCCAGTTCCCGTATACATGAGCAATTGCAAGGGTTGGGTGCGGTTATGTAGGAAAACATCAATCACACTACACATTGTACATATCTCTGCACACACCAGAGGGAGAGGAATAACTCTAGGGCCATCATTCATGGTTCACTATATAAACTGATGACTGTAAAGGCTTTTAAAGCGTCACCTATGGACAATTTCTGGTACTGAAGTTTGTCACCATTTCACAAATACGCACAATTTTTAAAGTTTGACATGTTTCTGATCTATATACTTGATGCCAACACAATATTTTATATTTCACCAAACAAATTGGGTCATATATTGAGTTTTTTGTGTATTAAAATGATCTTTAGTATGTTTTTTTTTTTTACAGAAAATATGCATTTGAGAAACAACTGTGCTAATATCCTGTGACATAGAAAATGGCAACTATCACATTTATATTCTCCAGGGTCTCTGCTTCAGAAAATAAAACATGTTTGCAGGGTTCAAGTAATCTTCTGTTCTAAAATGTGAATTTAATCATGTACATAAAAAAGCAAAGCCACCATATTACTAAACCCATCCAATAAAATGGATCCCACTTCCCCCCACCCAGGTGACTGTTGGAACTCCTTTACCTTGTGTAGATATCTCCTTCTGAGATCCTCATGATCTAATATAAATGTACAACACTCTCTGACACCAGTTTGTAGTAGACTCCGCCTTGATTTTCTGAGGTAGTCAGCCACCATGTAGCTCTGTGACACCACCTTAGGTGATGGAGCCACTTCTGCTGTCAGCTCTGCTATACCATCAATGGTGTCATTGGTTATCTGATCCATGACTCCAGTACACCGGTTCATCTTACTTATCTTAGATTACTTAGATTCCCCATCCCGTCTATGAAGGGCTCACTGCATAAAACATCTCCACTCCAGAGAAAATGTTTCTTCTCACTGGAAGGCCAGGGGAGTATTGGGAGAAATTGAGGCTTTCCCTTACAGATATGGGGGAGGGGCAACATCACCTAAAGTACAGCTATGGGTGGAATTGAAGGGAAGACATTTTAGAACGCCCCCTTCCACAAAAGAAGCAATATCATCTTGAAGGACTAGGAATCCATTGGACCAATGGGGATTAAACATTCTGCAATTACATTGAGGCACCATGAAATGTTACTGGCCTGTGATTGGCTCTCCTATTGTTAGTGAAGTGAGACTCCCCTTGTTGGTTTCATTAATGGAAATAAACCATGTGAAATGTTTCCCCCAAATCCAAAAAGGTGACCCCCTTGGGTAGGTACCCATCCTACTATTCCTGATATGAGTTTGTAGTCCCTGCTACTACAGGAAACATGCGGGCGATCATTTACACCTTTTACAGCAGCAGACAGTAAATATCAGAACACAATTCAAACATCAGACCAACAGCAGGAAGTCTGCTAACTGAATGTGTAATGCAATCTGTCATTAGCATTCCCCCAGAGTTCCCTCTGCAACATAGTTGTATCAGCTGTTGGTCCTGTCTGTAGATCTGTTATTTTCCCACCTTCTGTAACAGGGTGACAACCCTGATCATTCTGCAGGAACATTACACAGCAGCGTTGTCACCCTGTACAGGGAAGTCTTAGATAGATTATAAGTAAGACACACAACAAGTAAAGCCCAACTTCAGCTAACGCTTCTACAGCAGTTACAGCAACAGGTTCTCTATAAGGTCCAACCCCCCATATGAATGACAACTGACAGTTGTGAGCACCCCCAGCAGTGTTATAGGATTTGCCCCAACCCCTCCAACTGCCATTTTTCCCAAAAGGCTTGGCCTTCTACAGGAAGTAGAAAAAAAAACAAACAATCTACTGGGAGGGAACAAAAAAATAAAACAATAGGAGACTCGGAAAAACAAAACCTGCTCTGCTAATGACAGATTTCATTATTAATGTCATTAGTGATTTTGCCCATAGTTACACTTTGGTGCCAACGTTGTAATATTTCCAGGGAGAAGAGTTTTCTTTACAAACTTTCCACCAAAAAGAGATGTGTGCACTCAGAGTGATTATTGTGAACCCCAATCAGAGGAATGTCAGTCCCCCGGAAGAAGTGGTAGGAATATGACCGCACACTCAGCACTTTGTAAGTTCAGATCTCTGGCAGTTGTATTGTGTGATTAGTCTATGGAGAGGAGTAATAGCTGGAAAGAGAAAACATGGAACAAGGATTTCTGATCTTCACCTGATGGAATCCCATTTGGCAGAACCACATGGAACACAAGTGGCCAGCTGGGCTTACGTTTTACTGCTGAATACATCCCCTAAATCAGCAGTAACTCAGTATTGGAAGGCCTGCATCAGCTTGGGATGTTGTTTTCTCACTGAACAGAGACTTCTTTCTAGCTGGTGTCACAGACACAGACCTGCCTGAAAGGTTGTCATCCATGAGAGGAGATGAGATGTGGAAAGGAAGCATTGATAACGGGAGAGGAGATGGAACATGTATGGGAGGAGTGGACAAGGTGGGCTTAGCTGGAGACCTCAAGCCTGGCTGATGATGTATCAATAGTCAGAAGAACCTGGAATGGACTCTCCCACTGAGGCTTCAGAGACTTGGTAAGATAATAGACCCCATCCTAGTCTCTGGTACTGAGGCAGTGTTGGTCATGTATTACCTCAGGATCCAGAAATGAAGAAAATGCTTGGAAACACAACTCAGTTGGTGAATCATGAAAATGCATTACATGTTCATTCAAAGCTCCATAAAAAAGATAAAGATGAGAATCATGAGGGAAGCTGTTCAGTTATTGATGCTTATCTTAAAAAAAATTGTCAAAAGGTAAAATATTCAAATCCCTTCTAGTTGTGTATTGATGGACATAAGCACTAAACTCAGTTCATCCGATGATTACATTCCAGTTTGCTCAGATTTTAGTTTGTTCCTTTAAAGTAACATTTTATTGTTTCCCTTCTTCTCTAGCTTGTGGGATGACATTGGGGATGTGGGAAAACTGAACTGCTTGTGACACCTGAAACTTCTTTAACCTCCCTAGCGGTCTGATATTGTCCATATTTCTGTGCTCAAAGTGGTACTTTTTTGCATGGAAATATGTATTTTTTTTTTTATTGTAGGTCTGTAATTTTTAGGAATAACTCACTGAAATCTATCTGAACACGAGTCTAGTAAATATCCTGGGTAGGATAAAATTTGAAACACAAAATCATTTAATAAATAATAATTTATTATTATTATTTATTAATAATAAACAAAATAATTTAATAAAAAATAAAAAATAATAAAATATATAATAAATAATAAAATTAATATAAATAAATAATCAAAAAAACACTGAAATGTGAAATAGAGCGCCAAGTTCGCACATCGCTGAGCTCAGTCGCAAAATTGTTTTCAGTGTCTGATGATGAATTTCCCCAACAAATCATTATCACTCAATTCTGCAAGTGGTTCTGATTTACTATCGCTGTTCTCTAGCCGGTCTAAAACCGATTTTGACCTAAAGGGACACTTTTTGGACGCCATGGACGTTTCTCAGTTTCCAAGCAGAAAGAACAGTAAAAATGCAGGCAGGGTGCCAGACAAAGCACTCGGGACAAAATATATGTGAAATGGTTTGATACAGGAATGGAATACTATGTGATTTTAGTGTATTTAGTGAATGTCACTTTTTTTCATTTTCAAATTTCCCGCCGTTCCATCCCCCGTACGTCCCGACGCTCGCAGGGGACGGAACCCAGATGACAGATGCCGGCATCCGCCGCAGGACATTACAGGGGACACTGCAGGAGGCACATCGTGGGAGCGCAGGACAAGGTAAGTGATCGAGGGATCCCGGAGCAACACTGCAGTGTATTCCTGAGTGTAGCTCAGGGTTACAGCTTGTGGTACTGAAACTTTACCCCAAGCTACACTCAGGAATACCGCCAGGGGGTTTAATATCTCTTTTCTTCCAGAATTTAATCTATGCTGAAATTTGTGAATCCTGTGGTGATAGATTAGCCCAGCATTGACTGTAAAAGCTTTATCACATTGAGAGCATTAAAATGGCTTCTCTCCAGTGTGAATCCCTCTGGTGTCTGATAAGATCTGACTTCTCTGTAAAAGCTTTATCACATTCAGAACACTGATATGGCTTCTCTCCAGTGTGAAATCCTCTGGTGTCTGATAAGATTTGACTTCACTGTAAAAGCTTTATCACATTCAGAACACTGATATGGCTTCTCTCCAGTGTGAATCCTCTGGTGTATGATAAGATGTGACTTATGTTTAAAAGCTTTATCACAGTTAGAACACTTATATGGCTTCTCTCCAGTGTGAATCATCTGGTGTGTGATAAGATCTGACTTCTGAGTAAAAGCTTTTTTTTCATTCAGAACACTGATATGACTTCTCTCCAGTGTGAACAATCTGGTGTATGATAAGATGTGACTTCCTTTTAAAACCTTTATCACATTTGTCACATTCAGAACATGGATATGGCTTCTCTCCAGTGTGAATCATCTGGTGTGTGAGAAGATTGACTTCTGTGTAAAAGTTTTATCACATTCAGAACACTGATATGGCTTCTCTCCAGTGTGAATCATCTGGTGTCTGATAAGATTTGACTTCTGAGTAAAAGCTTTATCACATTTAGAACACTGATATGGCTTCTCTCCAGTGTGAATGCTCAGGTGTATTTTAAGCTTCCTCTTGGTTGTAAAGGTTTTGCCACATTCAGAACACTGATATGGCTTCTCTCCAGTGTGAATCATCTGGTGTCTGATAAGATCTGACTTCTGAGTAAAAGCTTTATCACATTCAGAACACTGATATGACTTCTCTCCAGTGTGAATCCTCTGGTGTCTGATAAGATCTGACTTCTGTGTAAAAGCTTTATCACATTCAGAACACTGAGATGACTTCTCTCCAGTGTGAACAATCTGGTGTCTGATAAGATTTGACTTCACTGTAAAAGCTTTATCACATTCAGAACACTGATATGGCTTCTCTCCAGTGTGAACAATCTGGTGTGTGACAATCTGATAAGATATAAGATGACTTCTTCTTTAAAAGCTTTATCACATTTAAAACACTGATATGGCTTCTCTCCAGTGTGAACTCTTTGGTGTACTATAAGGTGTCCCTTGCGTGTAAAAGTTTTGTCACATTTAGAACAATGATATGACTTCCCTCCATTGTGAACCTTCTGGTGTGTGATATATTTTCTCTCCATTGTAAAATCTCCAAACAAGAGTTTGAAATGACTCCTCTTATGTATACTGGGGGTTGGACTTTATTGTAAAGCCATTGTCACTTCCAGAACACTGAAATTACTTTTCTCCTGCTGGATCAATGTGGAAGAGGATCCAAACCATGACTTTTAGAACACAGATATGACTTGTATCCCGTGTGAATCCTCCAGTGAACTGCAATAAAGACTTTCAGTCAATTAAGACACCCATATGTCTTGTTTTCCATGTGACTCAGCTGTATTCATGAAAACCAACATGACCGAAAAACTTGGTTCATCAATCCACCTGTACAAAAAAAAAATTAAAATGCTACATAAAGTATTTTTCTATTTTTAATGTTCATTACTAAATATATCTTATGAATAGAAAAAGAATATGTACAGCATTATCTACAGTATTTTTTTTAATCAATCAAATAGATTTTATTAATAAAGTTTCTAAGTGCGCACAGTATTCCCAACATTCAGCCCAGACAATGGAGTCATACATTCTCACGTATAGGCAGTTGTGGCACTGTTACAGATCATACAGAACAATAACTTGCTTTGTCTACTGTGGTGTCTGTGGTGTCTGTGGTGTCGGTCGTTTTTGGACAGGGAAGCGGTATTCTAATGAAGTAGTTAAGCGCAGTCTGGGGTCGGTTCCGTTACATCCCCAAAAAGACTTGCAGCTGGAATTGCAGCCAAAGGGGGTCCTACAAAGTACTGACTCCGGGGGGCCGAATACAAATGCCGCCACACTTTTCACAGGTTTATTGGTCACAAATGTTGGAAACCATTTCTCATTTTCCTTCCACTTCACAATTATGTGCCACTTTGTGTCGGTCGGTCTATCACATCCAATCCCAATAAATACATTGTAACATGACAACATGGGGGGGCATTTCAAGGCACTGTAATGTGTATTGCTATCATGTAAAGGGACCAATAGCCTCCTATATGATGGCATATAGGTGACAGGTTCTCTTTGTGGAGACCCCCGGGGTCTATTAGACTCTGGATGTCTCCTGTCTGTTCCACTGCAGATGATGGAACACAGACCGCCTTCCATCAGCTGCTTCCCCGGCACTGATCCCGGAGAATGACAGCTCCAGTCCAGGAAGTGATGTCATCCACGTCATACATGTCACTTCCTGGTCTGTGTACAGGAGGTCCGCTGAGCTCCCGCCACCCTTCCCAGTGACACCCACCATGACAGCACCGGGCTCCACTGTCCCACATGGTGTAATAGGGGGGGGGGCACATCTCAGTGGTGGGTGTGGGAATGATAGGCGGCTTCACAACAACTTGTATCACTTCCACATGACAGCCGACATTCGGATTTACTAAAGTCCACACACTCCCGGCTGTATAGCGGTGGGCACTGTGGGGGGGCAAAAAAACACGTCTGCAGCATTGTTAACAATCCAAATCTCCAGCAAATGGCTGCAGATTCAAATATAACCGCCCCCCATCCTGACACCCTAGGATGGTTGCCTGAGCTGCCTTATGCTGGGCGTGGAGCCAGGTGCACAGTCATTGGTAATTGAGTGGTATGTGGGTGGAGCCAGGTGCACAGTCATTGATAATAAAAAGTGGTATGTGGGTGGAGTCAGGTGCACAGTCAATGGTAATAAAGTGGTATGTGGGTGGAGCCAGGTGCACAGTCATTGGTAATAAAGTGGTATGTGGGTGGAGCCAGGTGCACAGTCATTGGTAATTGAGTGGTATGTGGGTGGAGCCATGTGCACAGTCATTGGTAATAAATCGGTATGTGGGTGGAGCCAGGTGCACAGTCATTGATAATAAAAGTGGTATGTGGGTGGAGCCAGGTGCATGGTCATTGGTAATTGAATAGTATGTGGGTGGGCCAGGTGCACAGTCATTGATAATAAAGTGGTATGTGGGTGGAGCAGGTGCACAGTCATTGGTAATAAAGTGGTATGTGGGTGGAGCCAGGTGCAGTCATTGTAATAAAGTGGTATGTGGGTGGAGCCAGGTGCACAGTCATTGATAATAAAGTGGTATGTGGGTGGAGCCAGGTGCACAGTCATTGAAATGGTATGTGGGTGGAGCCAGGTGCTTGGTCATTGGTAGTTGAGCGGTATGGTGTGGTGGAGCCAGGTACACGGTCATTGGTAGTTGAGCGGTATGTGGGTGGAGCCAGGTGCACAGTCATTGGGTGGAAGTGGTATGTGGGTGGAGCCAGGTACATGGTCATTGGTAGTTGAGCGGTATGTGGGGGTGGAGCCAGGTACACGGTCATTGGTAGTTGAGCGGTATGTGGGTGGAGCCAGGTGCATGGTCATTTTCAAAGGCAAGTTGTGTCAGTTGCTTTTTCAAAAGTTATTGGAGCCCCAAAAACATTATTTGATAGCCCTCCTCCAAACCAATACTAATAAGCCTTTACCCCCCCACCTTGTGTGACACCAGATATACTCACCCACGTCCCCCATACAGGTCCCTCACCTCCGGGTCCTGGTGGGGGAACTTCTGATCCAGCTCTGCAATTCCCCCCCTGAGATCACCTCTCCTCTGCCGTCCCCCCCCCCGATGACATCATCCTCTTCTCTATTCTGAGAGGACCCCACTGGAGCCCATCCAATAGGAAGTGTCCATGTCAGGCAGGCACCAATGTGGTCACCCAAAGAAGGACCCAAACCAGGAAGTAAACAATAGCAGACTCGGGGTGGTCATGTGATCACAGATACAGGAAAGTATAAAAGGACTTTTACATTAGAGGGGTATTGTTTTCTTTAATAGACTGGTCAGATAGAGGGGGAGGAGTTTATCATGGGGGAGGAGTTTATCAGGGGAGGGGCTGTAAAAGATTACTTTACTTGGAAGATGATGTTTATTAACCACTTCCTGACCGCACTCTAAATGGAAAGATGGCTGCAGTGCGGCTCTCTCATTCTGGGAGGATATCCGTGGACGTCCCCCCAGAACAACGCCCCCCACATGGCCCCCTGGGGTCCTTCTGACACAGCTGATCACAGATTGTGGGGAAAAGCCAATCACAGCTCATCACTTGCCAGTTATTGACATTCCTTTCCTTCTGTGCTGGCACAGCTGCCTATCAGTGACACCTCATCAATGCTCATCAGTGACACCGAGAAATGACCTATTTGCAACATTTCATGACACAAACTAAGAAAACCTTTTTTCCCAACATTTTCAGTCTGAGTCCCACTCCATGTACCTTTGTAATATGTCCCCTCTACTCCTCCTCTTCATATTACTATCCTGCGTTCCCAAAATCTCACTTCTTTACCCCTCTGCTCCACCCCAAAACTTGTACATCTCCCCCTCACTGCTACCATCTCCCTACTACTGCTCTCATCACCTCCTGCTGATACTTCACTCTCCTGCTGACCCAAACACCAGGGACTGGAAGGCATGTGCGCTCATGTACATCCCGCTCCCATCTTACTTTCCTCACCCTTTCTTCTCACCTCTGGGGATATCTCCCCAAACCCTGGTCCTCCACTATTTCACCCCCACACCAGGCACCCTCCTTCTCCTAACCTCTGGGGATATCTCCCCAAACCCTGGTCCTCCACTATTTCACCCCCCACCAGGCACCCTCCTTCTCCTAACCTCTGGGGATATCTCCCCAAACCCTGGTCCTCCACTATTTCACCCCCACACCAGGCACCCTCCTTCTCCTAACCTCTGGGGATATCTCCCCAAACCCTGGTCCTCCACTATTTCACCCCCACACCAGGCACCCTCCTTCTCCTAACCTCTGGGGATATCTCCCCAAACCCTGGTCCTCCAGTATCTCACCCCCACACCAGGCACCCTCCTTCTCCTAACCTCTGGGGATATCTCCCCAAACCCTGGTCCTCCACTATTTCACCCCCACACCAGGCACCCTCCTTCTCCTAACCTCTGGGGATATCTCCCCAAACCCTGGTCCTCCACTATTTCACCCCCACACCCTCCACTATTTCACACATCCTTCTCCTAACCTCTGGGGATATCTCCTCAAACCCTTGTCCTCCAGTATCTCACCCCCACACCAGGTGTCCTCTTTCCTCCGGGAATAGCTGCAATCCCCCCAATTTAATATCGGTCCCCGTGCTCCCAAAACCACACTCCATTTTTCATGTGCGCTCTGGAATGCCCGCTCTGCCTGTAATAAGCTCACCTCTGTCCATGACCTTTTTGTCTCCCGCTCCCTTAACCTACTAGTAATTACAAAAACCTGGCTTCAAGCAGCAGATTCTACTTCCCCCGCAGCACTTTCCTATGGAGGCCTCTTCTGGACCCACTCACCCAGACCCAGTGGTTGGAAAGGTGGTGGAGTTGGTTTGTTTCTATCCCCACTGAGCACCTTTCAAGTCCTCCCTAACCCTCTCTCTCTCTCCTTCTTCTTCTTTCTTTCGAGACTCACTGCATCCGGCTGTTTTCTCCCATTTCTCTGAGGATTGCAGTGATCTATCGGCCTCCTGGACCCGTGTCCCACTTCTTGATGATTTCTCCACCTGGCTCCCCTACTTTCTCTCCTCTGAAATATCCACCATCATTCTCGGAAATTTTAACATCCCTATTAATGTGAACAACCCGGCTACATCCCAACTCTTCAACCTAACCTCATCTTTTGCATTAGCACAATGTATACCGTCCTCCACTCACTCTGATGGGAATACATTAGACCTTGTTTTCTCCCATCTTTGCACTCCCTACAACCTCACAAACACCCCCTTTCCTCTCTCTGATCACAATCTCATCACCTTCACAGTGTCCTCGTCTTCAAACACTTATCCCTCCAAGCAGCCAACAATTACCCGCAGAAACCTTCACAACTTGAACCCGGCTCCTTTCCACTCTGCAACTGACCGCCTCTGTGACAGAATCTCTCCCCTGTCCTGCCCTGACCTGGCCACTGCTGTCTACAACAGTTCACTTTCATCCACATTAGACTCACTTGTTCCTCTAACCACACGAAGCATCAGGCCCCGACCATTACAACCTTGGCAGACTGACGACACCAGAAATCTTAAACTACATAGTCGTGCGCTGGAGCGAATGTGGCATAAAACCAAATCCCAGCAAGCATTCACCCGATATAAATCTGCTTTCTTAACATACAATTCCTCCCTCCATGCTGCAAGACAAGCCTACTTTGTCACTCTTATTAATACCTTGTCATCCAGTCCTCGTCGTCTCTTCTCTCTCTTTTTTAACCCTCTACTTTCTCCACCTCCACCCAGTACCTCACTCACTGCTCACGAGATTGCAAATCATTTCAAAAACAAGATTTAGACAATTTGTAGGGGCATCTCCACTGCACAGACATCCATCCCACTTAGCATACCTTATACTAAACCTCCCTCAACACTTTCCTCTTTTGACCTTGCTACTACCGAAGAGGTCACTAAGGTTTTCTCAGAAGCCCGTCTCACTACCTGCCCCCTTGGATCCTGTCCCCTCACAACTACTACGGTCACCTTCTTCTTCCATCGTATGCTCCCTCACTCACATCTTCAATCTCTCCCTCTCTACTGGTGCCTTCCCCTTCCCCTCTAAAGCATGCACACATCACTCCCATACTTAACAAGCCCTCCCTGGACCCCACCAACCTGAACAACTTAAGACCCATCTCCCTACTCTCATTTACATCTATACTCTTAGAACTCTTAGTCTACAATCACCTGAGCTCCCACCTCACCGAAAACAACCTTCTTGACCCTTTACAGTCTGGCTTTCGCTCACTACACTCCACTGAAATTGCCCTACTAAAACGCCCTAATGATCTACTAACTGCTAAAACCCAAATGGCCACTACTCTGTACTCATCCCAACCAATGGCCACTACTCTGTACTCATCCCAACCAATGGCCACTACTCCGTACTCCCATCCCCAACCAAACCAATGGCCACTACTCCGTACTCATCCCAACCAATGGCCACTACTCCGTACTCATCCCAACCAATGGCCACTACTCCGTACTCATCCACTACTCCGTAACCAATGGCCACTACTGGCCACTACTCCTACTCATCCCAACCAATGGCCACCACTACTGCGTACTCATCCCAACCAATGGCCACTTCTCTGTACTCATCCCAACCAATGTCCACTACTCCGTACTCTTACTACTTGACCTCTCTGCGGCTTCTGATATGATTGACCATCCCCTCCTCCTCCTCAAAAAAAAAACTCCACTCTCTTGGCCTCCGAGACGCTGCTCTTTCCTGGTTCTCCTCCTACCTAGCGCTCCTTCAGCATTACCTATAATGCTTCCTCCTCCTCTCCACTCCCTCTCTCTGTAGGGGTCCCTCAAGGTTCTGTCCTTGGACCCCTTCTCTTCTCCATCTACACCACCTCCCTTGGTCACTTGATAAACTCCCATGGCTTTAAGTACTATCTCTATGCTGATGACACACAAATCTATCTTTCTACCCCTCACCTCACTCCTCAGTCTCCTCCTCACCTCACCCCCCCTTCAGTCTCCTCTCGCATTACTAACCTACTAAGTGACATATCGGCATAGATGTCACCCCACTTCCTCAAACTCAATCTTTCCAAAACTGAGCTTTTAGTATTCCCCCCAGCCCGTGCCCCCTCCCCCCCTGACTTCTCCATCAAGATCAATAACAGGATTACTAGGTGTAATCCTAGACACCCATCTGTCCTTTCAGTCCCAAATCCAATCACTGTCCAAATCTTGTAGACTTCACTTCCACAACATCTCCAAGATATGGCCGTTCCTAACCACGGAAACCACTAAGCAACTTATTCACTCCCTTGTTATGTCTCACCTTGACTATTGTAACTCCCTCCTCATTGGCCGACCTCATTGCAGGCTATCCCCTCTTCAGTCTATCATGAATGCAGCTACCAGACTTATCCACCTTACTAACCATTACTAACCCATTCTGTATCTGCCACCCCTCTCTGCCAATCCCTCCACTGGCCTCCATTCAGTGTCCTCCACCCCTCTCTGCCAATCCCTCCACTGGCTTCCCATTGCCCAACGGATAAAATTCAAAACATTAACAATAACATATAAAGCCATTTATAACTCCACCCCAAATTACATCACCAATCTTGTCTCTAAATATCACCCAAACCGTACTCTCCACTCCTCTCACGACCTCCTGCTCTCTAGCTCCCTTGTCTCCTCCTCCCATGCTCATCTCCAGGACTTCTCCAGAGCTTCTCCTATCCTCTGGAACTCTCTACACCAATTTATCAGACTATCGCCTACTCTGCTCACTTTTAGGCGATCTCTGAAAAACGATCACGTGACAGGTCCGAGAAGACTACGGGGCCATTCACAAAGCGCAGCGCTTCTCGCACATGTGCAGTGGGCAGCCGGCTGTGAAGCCACATGATGTCACATCCGGGTGTCCACACTAAGGATGCTGGCGCCGGGGAGAGTGCGCATGCGCGGCCGGCGGGGACGGACCTGTCCCGATGAGGCTCCGTCTCCCCGTCGGGTGACAGTGCCGAGCAGCAGAGGGTCCCGGCCCGCAATACAGCCTGGGGGGGATCAGATCCCCAAAGCAACCCTCCCAGGGTCTGATCCACCCTGGTCTACGGCGGATCCTCCGCAGCAGGTCGGAGAAATCCAACAGGGGACTCTGTCCCCATTGTGAGCCATACACAGGCCTGCCCACCGCTGTCTACACAGCACCGAGGCTGAGGAGAGAGAGCAGGGGGGCTGAGATCAGCATAACAGCCCCCCCCCCCCCCAAGCAGCAAAATGGTTAAGGGGGCACCCCAGCACCAGGTCCCCCCTTCAACCAAAACAATCAAAGAGGCCCTGGCAAAGGCCTCCACAAAGATGGCCACCCCCCCAGCTCGTGGAAGCAAGCAGGCGGCAGAGGCATATGCAGCCCTTCAGGATCCACAGCCCAGCCATCCCTGCACATCTGAGGGTGAGTCTGACACTGAGACAGATGTCCCTGGAAAAGCCCTGACGCCTGACCTTACACCCCCTGACCTATTGTCATGGTTTGAAAAAATGCTACACAAAGCTTTGAAGCAAACCTCGGACCGCATCACTGCCACGCTATCTAGGGAAATCCGTGAACTAGGACAACGCACTCTAGAACAGAGAGTAGACGGTCTTGACACCTCGCTTCAGACACATACGGATGACCTTGATCTCCTGCGTGATGAAAACGCAACATTATTAACACGACTGGAGGACTTTGAAAACCGAGCATGGTGCTCATACCTACGTATCCGTGGCCTTCCGGAAACGATCGTCGATGTCCAATCAATAGTAACAGCTCTGTTCCAAGAGCTTGCCCCAGCTATCCCAATCGAAAGATTAGAATTGGATAGAGTTCACAGGGCGTTAGCATCACGACGCACTGATGGTCTGCCACGTGACATTATAGCCAAGCTCCACTTTTTAAGTACCAAGGAGCAACTCCTACAAGCTGCAGTAACGCAGAATCTCTACAGTTCCAGGGTCATACCTACCAATTATTCCAAGATCTATGCCCCACAACTATCTCCAAGCGCAGGGCTATGAAACCTCACCTACAAGTACTTCAACAACACGCTATACCATATAGGTGGAAGCTTCCCCTTTGCAGTGCGATTCCGATACCAGACCCGAGATTACACCTGCAAGACTCCAGAGGACCTTTTAGACACCTTGCAGATCCTACAACTACATCCCCCAGCGACGCCTTCAGAAAGCGCCAAGCGGAGGTCCACATCCTGCTCGCCGCGGAAGTCCTTCCCCGCACGTACAACTGAAGGTCAACTCAGCCTCCACAAAAGAGGGCGTCTTTCGTCTCCGGGCCTATCTTCACAAGATACCATGGACTGAACGCTTATCTTTTTTTTTTTTTTTCTTTTTTTGCCACACACACCAAACGGTGTTCTTTTTTGACTATCATTGCGGTTAACACCATTGATATCCTTTCTCCCTCTACCTGTTAAATTTTGCTTGCCCCGCAACCTGGGGATTGTTCTGCACCCCCCCTCCTGGGCTCCATTTTAGCTTAGATTTGGGAGCCTAGGCTTTGGCGCATGCGATGCCACACCCCTACACCCAAGATGTCTCACTAGTACTGCTAGTGCCATCTGAGTCTGGGACACCCTGATTTTCTCAGATTTTTTTTTTTTTTTTTATATATACACCTGTTTTTTCTACCGGGACCTCGCCACCATTTATTAATCACATTGCTGTCATCCTCACGGTCCGCGTACCTGCACACTCCACCCCTAGCCCCTGTGTTATTAGTTATTTAATAACACTTGGGCTACTATTGCTCCCTAGACCACCCTGATCCAGGGTGTCCTTGGGAACCCACCTTTTAGGCCTCAAATGGCCTCCTACACCCCCCTCTTTCATGTTACCTCTCTCATACCGTACCCCTCCCCCTCCCCCCCCCAACATGACTCCATGACTTTGCACAACATACTCCGCAACGTTCCCATCCCCCACAGTAATCGTCAGGCTCCATCCCGGGCAGTAGTGCCATGCTCTCCAAACCACTATGCACTTTCCCCATGGGCTCGTTAAATATTCTTACCCTGAATGTACAGGGCCTTAATGTTCCACAGAAACGTAATAAGGCTTTCCGAACCTTTGCTACACTTAAAGCTCACGTGGTCTGTCTACAGGAAACACACTTCACTCCCAACTCCACCCCTAAGTTTTTTGGCCCTCGATATCCTCAGGTCTATACAGCCTCTGCCACCACCAAACGCAGGGGGGTACTGATTGCCTTCCATTGCACAACACCTTTCACGCTATGCACCGAAATCAAAGACCTGGAGGGTCGTTACCTCCTGTTAGTAGGGCAACTCCTAGACGTAGATGTTACCATTGTTGCATACTATGCCCCAAACCAAAACCCCTTACCATTCCTTTCCCACATACTCTCGGTTATAGACCACCATAAACGCGGAACTCTAATTGTTAACGGAGACTCTAACAGTGTAATATATCCCTTTCTCGACAAATCTCCTCAACCATCCCCTGTCCCTGCCTCTAAACAAACCTTCCAAGCCATACTACAACGTTATTCTTTGATAGATACATGGCGGGAACTCAACCCGACTAAACGCCAATACACCTTCTATTCTCACCCCCACCAGTCATTCTCCAGGATAGATCATATTTTCATTACCACCGCCTCTTCCCCCCGGCTCCTGACTTCTGAAATAATTCCAATCCCTTGGTCTGACCATTGCGCCGTATTCACGACTATGACCTCGTTAGCCCCATCCCCCGCTGAATCCTCTTGGATCATTAACGATAACCTGCTTGCAAATCCAGCTCACTGTCTAGAAATCGAAGCAGCCCTTAAAGACTATTTTTCTCTTTAACCAATTGCCTGATATTTCCCCTCTCCTGTTATGGGAAGCGCATAAACCGATATTGCGAGGGTTTTGCATTAGCAAAGCATCCTTCTTAAATAAAACCAAAAGACAACAACGTCTCTCACTGGAGCAAACATATGATCGTTACCATCAAGCCTTCCAGGCGGCTCCTACGCCTACCAACCGTGAGGCCCTGGAGCGATCTAGATTGGCTCTAGATCTCTTTCTCACAGATCAAGCGGAACTCTCACTCCGTAGATCTAGGCACAAATATTATACTAGGGCAAATAAACCCAATACATTCCTGGCCCTCTCACTTTGCAGGCTCGACCAGCTCACTAGACCTATCCGGATACGCACCTCTTCTGGCAACCTCACTAGTAACCCAGAACACATTTTACAGACTTTCCATAAACACCTGTCACAGCTTTATTCTTCTTCCACACCTTTTAACCCCGCACAAGCTGATACCCTTCTAACTTCCATTTCTTTCCCGAAACTCTCAGAGTGCCAATTAGCGACACTTGAGCGACCCATTTCCCCAGCCGAAACCTTAGATGCTATTAAAAGTCTAAAACTACGTAAACGCCCAGGACCAGATGGCTTCTCAGCCACTTATTATAAAAAATTTGCTCATCTCCTCACACCTATCCTCACTAATGCTTTTAACACTTTACTATCTGGCCAAACCTTCAACCATGAAACAGTGCAAGCGAACATATCAATGATCCCAAAGCCGAATTCTGACGATACGCGCAGTGGTCCAATTATAGGCCAATCTCTCTCCTCAACATTGACATCAAACTGTTAGCAAAAATCCTCTCTTCACGTCTTAACCTGTGTATTGGCTCTCTAATTCATAACGACCAAGTGGGCTTTATCCCAACTAGACAAGCGGGAGATAACATCATGCATCCCTTTTGGCAAATT